CCCCAACCCTCCCCAGCACAAGCAGCAGCAGCAGCAGCAGGATGGAGCAGCACAGGCAGCGCCCAAGCTGTGCTTGGCTTGGCAGGGGATGCTCCTCTTGAAGAACAGCAACTTCCCATCCAACATGCACCTGCTGCAGGGAGATCTCGGCGTGGCCAGCAGCCTCCTGGTGGAGGGAGCGACTGGGGGCAAAGTAGCTCAACTCAAGATCACCCAAAGGTTGAGGCTGGACCAGCCTAAGCTGGATGAGGTGAACAGGCGGATCAAGGTGGCAGGACCCAAGGGTTATGCCATCCTGCTGGCAGTGCCAGGAGCCTCAGACAGCCGCTGTGTCCCCTCTGAACCTGCCACCACCTCCACGCAGAGGCCCCTCAGGAATCTGGTGTCCTACCTAAAGCAAAAACAGGCTGCAGGGGTGATCAGCCTCCCTGTCGGGGGCAATAAGGACAAGGAGAACAGTGGGGTGCTGCACGCCTTCCCCCCCTGTGATTTCTCCCAGCAGTTTCTGGACTCCACGGCTAAGGCATTGGCGAAATCAGAGGAGGATTATTTGGTCATGATCATTGTCCGTGGGGCATCTTAAGGGGCCTCTTGGTGTGTACCCTAACCCAACCTACTCCTCCACACAGCCCCTCCAGCCTGTGCCAGGTGCTATGGGATACAGCCTTAGCCAAGCCCTGTTGGTATTTTAATTAGCTCTTTGTTTGTAGGTGATTTTTAATTTTTTTTCCCCCTACCCTCTGTTTTGTTTTTTTTTTTTTTCTGTTCCTCTGTTTTTCTGTTGAGGTGTAGAAGCCAGAGAGGTTGGATAGGAATAGAGCGAGTAGGATGTTTGGAGAAGTCCCTCTCAGGAGGAGGGAGAGCAGGGAAGGCTCAGCCTGCTTTGATTTACAAAAAGAAATAGATATTATAAATAAAATAAAAAGAGGGGGAGGGGAGGGAAAACTCCAATCTGCTCGATTTTCATTCACGTCCTTTTTTCATTTCATGTGGTTTTTTTAAAAAAAAAAAGTCCCAAGAGAGAATTCCAAGTGGAAAAAGACCAGATTGAAAGCAGATGGAAACCTTAGCACAGACTGGGGGCAGCTCCTCTTGGGAGCCCTTGAAATTCCCTATGGGCCTCAGGGAATGAGGCACATTCCCTGAGATTCCTTCCCTGTGGAGCTGGAATGTTTCCCCTTTTGGGTTGCTTAGCTCCAGGTTGATGTTTTCCAGGTGAGCAGCTCCTGCTCTTGGGCACACACAGGACACTGAATTCCTTTATTCTGGGTGTTTAATCCACCCCCAGGTGCATGCACTGAAACTGGGCTGGTTTTTTTTATATTTTTCCCCAATTTCCCAGAGTTTGGTGTATCCCATGTGTGCACTTTGGGTTTGTAGCAGTGGCAGTGGTTGGTGAAGAGCTGAGGATTTGGTTCCAAACCAGGAATTTCTTGGTGCTTCTTCTGGTGTGCAGGAAAGAAGGAGGTGCTTGAAAGGAGAACTTGAGTTCTAGTGTGAGGGTTTTAATTTTTAGTCTTTTTTTTTTTGGAGGGGGGAAGGGTTTTCCTGCCCCCCCCCCTTTTTTTTTTTTCTTTTGTCTTGGCAAAGAGTTGCAGCTCCAATGGGATTTGGTTCCACAGTGCAAACTCTTGAGCTTCTCTCCAGAGATGGTTTTAATTCTGTGCTAATTTAATTACCTAAAAGTTCTCATTACCAGTTTTACCTCTTTGTTAATAGCAAGGAACTGTTTTCTGCTCAGGACTTCAGGTGCAGCACAATGGGCATTACATGAGGTTTAAGCATATCCCACCTGGAGTAAAGTGCTTGGAGCACCTTGGAGAAATATTCCAATCCTCCAAAGTGCTGAGGTTTGAGCTCCTGTTCCTTTGCTTCTGGGATGAAACACTTTGCTTTTTTTTTTTTTTTTTTTTTGCTTTTCAAAGAACTTAGTTCCATTTGCTCTTTTTTTTTTCCCTCTCCCAAACTTTGGGCACTCTCCTCCAGCTGTTTTGGCCACCTTGGGAATCCCAGGAAGGATGGATATCCCTGATGGGATCTAAATCCTTCCTGTGCTGTTGAACAACCCAAAGGATGTTGCAGCGACTTCAAAAATGAAGTTTAAATCTCTTGACAGACCTCAAAAAATTGTTACCTTGCACTTAATCCCAGAGGGTGATGTTGCACTTAGTTCCCAGAGCCTTGGCTAATATCCAGCTCCATGCTCCAAGAGATTCCTTGGCTGCTTGGAGCATGGGATGGAGCTGATTTCTCTTTACAACTTGCCCAGTAAATATGAAATTGGGAAGAGGAGGTGGAGGAGGAAACGTCTTGAATGTATTTTAGGGGTTTGACTTGTATTTCCTCAAGTTTCTCCTTCCAAAAAAGTAGAAATTTTGCTCACTGGAGCATTTGTCAGGGAGTGCTTTGATCTCTTTTTGCCTGGAATGAGTACACACAATATCCCAAGCCCCATGGGGCAGCAGAACTTGAAACCAATTTGGGTTTGAAAGCTCCTTCTCTATGAAAAGATGTCAAAAAAAAAGATAAAAGCCTCATTTAATGCTCTTCCATTTGAGGGTAAAATCCAGGATTTCTGGCTTGGCAGAATTCAGCTGTTCATCTTCCTATTAACAAGGGGAACGTGGGGGGATGAGAGCAGAACTGTGTTGTGTGGAGGATGAAATGTATTTCCCACTTGCTGTTGGAATCAGAGCAGGAATCTGTGCGTGGCAGCAAGTGCCCAACGCTGCTCTCACCCTCCCCAGGTGCTGTGTCCATCCAGAGGGACCTTTCCCATTCCAGCAAACCATGAATCCCGTGCAAGAGTCTCACAGGAAGAGACTTGAACCTTTGGGAATTCAAATCCACGCAAAATCCATCCACAAAAAGCACTCCTGGATGTGCTGGACACATTGCAACCTGCTCAGAGCAGCTTTTGGTTGTGCTGATCCACCACAGGCACCTGTTCAAACATCTGGAAAACTTGGGATCAATGTAGCCAGCAAAGCAAACTCCATGTGGGGAAAACTTTGGGAAGAGTATCCTTGCAGTTTTCCTTGGAATATTGCAATGGTTCTCCCTGTGCTATCCTGAGCCAAAGCTGTGCCAGGCTGGAGGGCACAAAGGATTGGGTGATGCTGTTTGATTCCAGGTTTTCTGGTTCCTTCTGGAATGGAGCAGCTGCTGTTTCCATCTGGGGGATTTGTGGTTGCTGCAAAGATTTTTTTTCACCTCTTTTTGAGGGGTTTAGTCTCCAAAACTTTGCCTGCCAGTTGGGTGTTGTTTTTTGGGTTTTTTTTGGCCAGCACTGAATCCCAGTGGTGCAGCTCTGCCTTCCTCCTTGGCTTCCGTTGGAAAACTTCCCACTAAGGTTGTCCTAGCCAGGGCTAAAGGTTTAGGAGTCTCTGTGTGTGATCCCACTGTGTGTAGAGCAAAGCAGGTGGAGCAGGTTGGAGTTTTCTCCTCCTCGTGTCCAACATTCCATTGGCTCCAAGCAGAGTTCAGTGTTCCTCTATTTCATTAGCTTGGAAAAAAAGGAATTCCTTTTCCTGAATCATTTCAGCCTTGTGTTTGATGCTGTGAGGGAAAGAACCTCAAATGACTCAGAGCTAAGAGTTTGGTTGGGTTTTTTCCCCCTTGGAATTGGGAATTTGCCACAGCTCCCTTGGCCCTGAGCTTTGTTGGCTCTGGGAACACTAAGGTTACCTTCAATCCAGAGGTTTTTGGGGATTACAAACACCAACACATCCTTGGCAACCTCCCAGAGAGAAGGTGTTATGTGCCAGGCACCTAAATCTCTCCCTCTCTCCTTTTCCATGAGGATGTTAAAAGATTGGGAATATCCCACAGTGCCAACTCACTGTGGAGAGCAAATCGAGGGGAAATTCCATGGCTTGGGGAAACCTCTGGTTGATGCTAACTGAGGTGAAAAACCAGAAGGATTCCTGGGGAGGAGGAGGAGATCCAAATGGGCAAGGGAGATCCCAAAAGTGAGGACGCAGGGGAAAAAAAAATGGGGAATTCTTGGTGAGGACAGTGCTCCTGGGGAGTGATTAGCTCTGCAGCTTTTTGAGGTTCTTTGTCTCCTTCCTGGATTATGTTCCAGCACTGAAGGACAGAGATTCCAATGCTTTTCCAGCCTGAGCCATGAGCTGGTTTTGCTCTCAGGCTCAAATTTGTTGGCTCTGAGAACGAATATTCCACTCGTGCAGTGCTGATTGTGTGGAAGCTGAGGAGAAATATGACTTGAAGAGTTATCTAATTTGAAATCCACTTGGATTTGGCTTTGATTTGCCCTTTTTGAACTTCCCTAGTGGAATTTTCTCCCCTTGGAATTTCTCAGCAAAAGCAGAGCCAAAGAGTTGTGTTGACACTACATTTCATGGCTTGGGTGAGAAGTAAGAACCTTTGGAGGAAAGTCAAGGGAATTAACACTGATTCCATTGGTTTTCCTCATGGTTTCCATGTGTCTCATGAAAAAGTTGAGGACTCTTCAGTACTGTAAACCTCTAATCTTGGTCTACCAAAAAAAAACCAACCAACCCAAACCAAACCACAGCTCTGAACTCCTTATTTTGCAGCTCTCCAAGGTGACTCCAAATCACCTGGAGCTTCCATGGGTAGAATTGGTGCTTTGTTTTGGGTTTTTTTGGAAGTCCAAGTAGAACATTAAGCTTTGTATAATGTAGAGAGAGGGAGGGGGGAAAAAAACAAACCCCAAAACTCAAACACCTCAACCTAAATTTTTTTGATCCACCTTTGTATTGAACTAACATTTCCTTCCCTCCTGCAAGCCAACCTGGACTGCAGAAGACAACCCACCTGGGATCATCTCAAACTCTCAAATGGACCTTTGGAAGAAGAAGAACATCAACAACAGCAACAACAACAACCTGTGGCATATCTAGAGATGAATTTTCAGGGGCTTCTCTTGGTGTGGAGGAAGAGGAAACCAAATCCTATGAGAGAGAGAGAAAAAAAAAGCTTCTCTGTTTTGAGTATTTTGTGCATTTGACTCAAAAAAAAAAAAAATTGGCAGCTTAAAAAAAAAAACCAACAAAACCCAAACTCAGTTGTGTATCTGCTCATTGTGATGCCAATGACCGTGTTTAAGTGGAAAAAAAAAAACACACAAAAAAACCAAACCATGACCTCTTTGCTTTGTGCTGTGTACACAAGATTGCAAAAAAAAAAAACACACAAAAAAAAAAAGAGTAAAGGAATTCCCTTTTTATGCCCTGCCACAGCTTTTGAGAGTCCCTCAAAAAAAAAAAAGCTGATTTTTGTCGCGTTCCTAAATAAATGGTTTCTTTGGAGGAAAAAAAAAAAGAGATTTGAGGTTTCTGCCTGCAAATGAATTGCCACCAAAAGCTCCTTTTTTTAGGGGCGACCTGACAAAGTTTTGCTGCTGCTGATAGTTTGTTGGGGCTTTGTGCAAGAAACAGGGAGAGGAAAAAAAAAAAACCTACCGAGAGTTTTCGCGTTGGGATCGACTTGCGGTTTGGCAGAGGAGAAGAAATCTAGTTGATTTGCTGCTCCCTCCTTTGGTTTGCAGTGCTGAGAGGAGGAAATTAAAAGGGTCTCAGCCTTCACTCCTGGCCC